TTTGGTGTGCAAAGCTATATGGTATGAATGGAATTTGAAAAAGATTAAAAATAATGTGAAAGAAAAATAAAGAAAGAAATAATAAAAATATATTTGAAATCAAAATGAAAGATGGGGAAATAAGGAAAGTGGTTTGGAGAAAATAAATAAAAATAATGGATTTTGAAATCAAACGGAGGAGAGAGAGGGGACAAGCCCATGTGAGTGAAAGAGGGGTTTAAAGAAAGTGAGGGAGTGGGTTGATTAAAAAAAGGATTGTGGGTTTGAAAGTGGAAAGATGAGAGAGAGAGAGAGAGTGAATTTGTTTGCTTTAACAAGATGACAAACTTGGGCACAAGTCTCTGTGGCAGCATTGCATTTTTCTGCCTCCCTCTGATACTGGGAAGCTACCCTTCTTGCTTCTGCAAAGGTAATGTTCATATGGTGAGCATGCTTCAATGCAAACTCCCTCTGACACAAGTATCTTGGATCTGTATTACGCAAAACCCCATGTCCAAATCCAGGAACAACCTTTCCACTGTTCAGTGTTTTCCAAACATAGTCTTTCAACTGGTCCGTGGTTATGTTCTCACCACACTCCTTTACCACAGATTTGATCCATAGCAGAACTTCCTGATTAGCCAAGCCATGGAGTGGTCCAGCCAAACCATTTAATGCAGCTGCAAATGAAAGGTACGGATCTGAAAGGGCACTAGCTACTAGATGACCAGTGTGAGCACTAACATTCCCACCTTTATGGTCAGTGTGAATGGTGACATAAAGCCTCATAAGCTCCTGCATGTCAGGACTATCAAATCCAAGCATGTGGGCAAAATTTCCACCATAATCTAGGGAATCATCCTTGGGTATAACTTGCCCATTCTTGTAAATCCTGCGATAGACATAAGCAGCTACTATTGGTAGTTGAGCAATCAAACTAAGAGAGTCCTCATATGTTGGCTCCCAGTACTTCGATTTATGGATCCCCTTCTCATATGCTTTCTGGAATTCACTCTGTACCTGAAGAGCCATGACACCCATTGCAAACTGGGTCATTGGATGAGCTGAAACAGGAAGGGCATCAATAGCTTTGTACACATGATCTGGAACTGTGGCACGGCTTCGTAATTCCTTGGATAATGCATCTACTTGCTCTTTATTTGGTACCTTTCCTGTTAAAAAGAGCCAAAGGAGACCCTCAGGCAATGGCTCCCCACCAGGCTTTGCCGCTGGTAACTTCTTCTGACATTCAGGTATTGACAAATTTCGAAAGCGTATACCCTCTTCAGGGTCCAGTAATGAGGTTTCCCACAGCAAACCTGTCATTCCTCTCATTCCACCAAGTACCATATCAACTCTAATGTTCCCCAGTTGAACCTTTTCATGCTCAGACTTCAGTTTCTTCAGGCGCTCCTGTTGTTCTGGAAT